GGAGATGACTTTGGAGGGGGAGGCTGGAGTGGGGGTGACTGTGGAGGGGGAGACTGGGGTGGGGGAGACTGTGGAGGGGGAGACTGGGGTGGGGGAGACTGTGGAGGGGGAGACTGTGGGGGTGACTGACCACCCAGTAGGACCTAAGCAGACTGTGCTGGAGTGGAGGACCATGGCCCTGAAATTTGCTGTAGGACTTCGCTAAGTTTTTTTTTTTACTTTGCTGTTTTCTTCAGCCTTTGAAGGTGTGTTTAATTTTGGGTGGCAGAAATGTTACTCATTGCTGGAATGTCTGTACATCATGTCTGTAAAATAAGAGATTCCCCAGGTTTTAATCCAGAAGTATCTGGAGTGTAGTCAGGCTTTTTAGCGAATCGTTTTGGGGAGTGGGGGGGGAGATGTGTTTTGACTAATGCTTGCAATTCTTTTTAGATTTCTAGAAACCAAGATACCAATTTCTAATTAATTAATGTTTTTTATGTAATTATACTTTATTTGCTGTTGAAGGTGTGGTGGGCCAAATACATACCTGTTGCAAGGTATAGATTATTTTCCAGACATGGATCACAGATTGAGATTGTTTTGTTGTGGGTTTGAGGCACAACTGAAATGATGTTGAAATGAAAACTTTACTGCCGGACATTTTTAGAAAATGTATCAAGCGCTGTTAACGTTTTGATCCTGTACTTTGCTAAACATTTGTACATTCACTCTTTCAGTTGAGAAAAATCTTACCAACTCATTCTATTGGGGTCTTAAAAAGCCCTATTCTAACTTGGAATTTAAGGTTTTGATATGATTAAGATCTGGGATATTATGTTGAATCCTCATGGATATGTACATCATTGTAAGAGTTCCCGCAGAGCCTTTTAACACAATAAGGCAGAGTATTATGGAAAAACTGCTTATTTTGTACACTGGTCCATACCTTGTATTTTAGATTAAAATGTTTATGAGTGTTAAATAAATGTATTTCACTGTTATTGAGTACAGCACATTCTTTTCTTCATTTACAATTGTCAATATTACCGTGAATTAAATTCCACCATTATATGCAATAAAGACTTTCACCTTTTGATTATGTTGGAGACTTTGCTCTGGTTCCTCTGCGTTCACTGCGTTCATATACCTTTCAATCGAGGAATAGGGCGTTCTCGCCAAACTCCATGTGTAAAAAAAAAACAAAACAAAAACAGGAATGTTTCATTTGAGCCGGCCTGGGTCGGAAATACATCGTTACGCTTCACCCCGTGCTCTAATGTCTAATTTATCAGTGTTCAGGAGTGCTCGGTTTTTGTGCGCGATCTGATGGTGTTAATGAACACTTTAGGTTCGCCCTAGGAGACGCTCATCGCCTCCGGTTCTGGACTTTTAGGTGACAAATACTGTCATTAATTGAATAATTATCGGTAGCAACGCAGCTGCCTCTTGGAAACTGTGGCTGCACAGTAATAGGTCTCCCCAGGACTCTTGACCACGGGCTGCAGGAGCGGAGCGCCGCCTCGGGCTTTCTGCAAACTGGCCAGCAGGCGGCAGTCGCGGGCTGATGAGCCGAGGGCTGGTTGCTATGGTAAACAAGCAGAGGTCGGAGACATGAAGGAGCTGAAACTTGAATCAGAAGGACGATTTAAAAACTTCCAGAGTCGTGTTTTTTTTTTTTGTGCGTGTCGTAACGGGTTTTATAGATCAACTACTGCAGATAACAAATGTAGGCTTACAAGAGTGAGTACTGTGTTCCATGTTGTTTTACTGCCATTAATTTCACTTTATAATTGTAATTCATAATTTACAATTGCACTTAATACAGTCTCAAGGGGTTTTGTTGGCTGTCCGCTGTTCTTGGTGAACTGTTGATTTCTGCAAAGACACTGCCTTGGTCCAGGAAAACATACAGGACCCCGGCGTGATTTCAGAGTTGCAACAGTCTTAGCCTGTCGTCAGTCTTTTGACTGTCGTTTAAATTTTGGATAGAAAATCTTTTACACATCCATGTAATTTATTTTTGGACGACCGTGCCTTTAAAGTAACCCAAAGATTCCCCAGGGTTTATTCTGAAAGCATGTACTGTATATTTAGGCTTTTTACCACATTGTTTTGGTGAACAGCGGGAGGAAGGTGTTCTTGTTTTTAGTAGCACTAAATACACTGATTTTTAATCAACAGTTTTAATGTAATGACAAGTTTCTTTATTTGCCTTTGGAGGGTGATAAGTTATGGCTTCACCAACGAGCTGTCTTGTGAAGTCCCTACAGGAGGAGTTCAGGAATGCGGTGAGTATTCATGAGGCAGGACGCTGGACCGGAAGGCTGGGGGTTTCGTTTCCGGTTAGGGTGGTGTTGTTGATCGATGTGCTTCATTTCACCGGCTCCTCACTTCACACACCGCTGTATAAACGGTGTTCTAGGTCGTCATTGTACATGGAAATTTGCCATTAACTGGTAAAATAAAGGGATTAATAATAGTTCATGTATGATACTCATTTAAAAAAAAAAACAACAAACACATTTTTAAAGAAATGTACTGTATTAGCCATTTTGCCCCTGCCCTGGCCTGACATCACCCAGGGAGGAAATGTGCTTCTCTGCTTTTCATTACTGCAGCCATTAACAGGAGTTAAGTACTGGAAAAGTTTTTTATTGATCTTTTTGTTGAAGACCAATTAGAAACAATCGTCCAATGTGCTCGCAAACAGACGAAATATGAGGAAAGGAAGGTTAGAAATAGGAGGAGGCCATATGACCCATTTGGCTTGTTTGGTCGGTAGTAGTAGCTAATTAATCTTAGGATCTTGTCCAGACATATCTTGAAAGAAGCCAGGGTGTCGGTTTCAACAACACGGTAGGTTAGCTTGCTCTAGACTTCAGGCAAAGTCTTTTTTTTTTTTTAAAGAAAAGGTCTTCCCGTGCTTAATCTTAAAAGTGCTTCCCCTCAGTTTCTTCTTGTGTCCTCCAGAGCTGGAGAACACCAGGAAGGCACGGCGGGAACCGGGAACGCTGGAAATGAGAGAGAGTTCAAACAGGGCAGTCCCTTCAGAGACGCAGCTCTCTTCTTGGCTCAGTCTGTTCTTCTTATGTTAGAAACCAGCGCGTCCTGCATCAGGGGCGCTGGTGGCATGGGCCCTGCCGAATCATTCAGAACAACAGTGAAGCACAAGCCGGAGGGCCTCTGAGGGGAAACTGAGTGGAAGGGCATTTCAGGAAAAGGTTGTGGGGGTTTGGAACAAGCTAACCGGCCATGTGATTGAAGCTGATATGTTGGTCTGAAGCTGTTTGTCCCCATTGTAGATTGTTCAAAACAGACAGGTACACTAGGAGACATGTCAACAAATGTGGAAATTAAGAGCTTGGCAAGGATGTCCTCTGGGGGTAGTGGGGGTAGTGGGGTGAGTATGAGAAGGTCGTACCAGCTCATGTGTGGGCATGTGGGTTGGGCTGAACCGCCTAGGACTACAGCAGATGGGCGCGGCAGGACAGGGGAAGAAGCCGACCCGGAGGTCAAGGAACTCGTCCTGCGCCGCAATCCTCCCTGCCACCCATTCCCAGCCCGGCCGGCTGCCATCCCAGAACCACCATGTCACGCCAGGAAGTGAACCGCCCACTGTCGCCCCCTGCTGATCCCCAGCAGCACACCCACACATCCGGTGAGATTTTACTCCAGAGCAGAGCCCCGGAGTCCTCTCAATAAAACCCATTCAGCATTAGATCATATAAAGTCAGTGGGTATTGTATTATACGTGCATAGCTGACTCAGGCATCACCGTTACACTTAAGGACAACTCATGGAGAAAGTTCAGGTATTTAAATGAAGTTGAACCCTATTATCGAAGAAATCATCAGTTATTATGCAGTAAAAAAACCAACACGACAAAACAGGCTTTTACTCTGATTGCGCATGACTGTTTTCTAATCTGCTTTATGAAGATAACAACTTTAAGTGCAAGAATCGGTGGTTATAGAAGATTATTTTTTAATGGAAAATGAGCTTCTCGTTAACAAGTAACAGAATGAGGACAATCAAATCAACCTCAGCCGGCTGAGGGCTAGTGCAGGCAATAACTTGCGTGACTGAGAATCGCGTCTGATGAATTGAGTCACAAACGACGAGCCTTGGATATATTTAGTTGTGAAAGAACTGAAGTCCACTAATAAAAAAAAAACAACAACAAATGACTTAAGCGAGGACTTTGTGGCCGTTTTTATTTCCTAGTGGGATCTCAGTCAAGCACAGCTCGTGTCCTGGAATCGCCTGCCTCGTCAGCCTGCAGGCACCTGTGGCGGAAGAAGGCTGTAGAGTCTGACCCGAAGGTCCTTCAGAAAAGGGACAACATCAGAGTGTTGAAGGTACTGACTCTTTTAAAGATGAGGAGGGGCTGACGCTTCTGATTTCAGTGCAGTCAGGAGCTGTGATTGGGTCTAGGGCTGAGTACAGGGGTGAATTTGGGTGGTTGGGGATGAGATCAGAGTTCATGCTGGGACAGGGTGATATCTGTTTTTGGCGCAGCTTAGACGAAAGAAAACATTTCTTCCCCCAGGAAATAACATTTTATGAACAGTAGTAGCTAAATCAATAGGCCTCAGTGGGTTTGAAACCATCTATATGTAGTTTAATGCGCTTTTAAATGATTATCACATTTAAGATGGCTTCTACTTACTGGATTTTGTGTTAAAGAGAATTGTCTCAGCAACAAGACAGGAGTGTAAGGATCTCTGTCCCCCAGGTAAGAGGGACGTGCGTTTGTCCATTGCAAGGCAATAAGTTCGCATGCACGTGTGTTTAGTTTCTGATAAGGTCAAGGAAGCAGGCAATTGCGGAGTTTGAGAAGCACTACGCAGCACTTCAGGAGACCAACCTGCGCCTGGCCCAGGAGATCAGGGAAGAAGACCGGATTTCTGCCGTCCGTGCCAGGGAATTCCTGAATCAGCATGAGAAACTGGGGGTGAGAAACTGCGTCGGATGTGGTCACGCATCGCCACACGGCCCAGCGTTTTATTTCAGTAGTCCTGTTAGATCCCAGTGAATGTGACAGAGGGGTGAAAGGAGACTCGCCTGGCTGAGAGAATGATCTGCCCAACACCCCCCTCACTATTGCGAGGAATGAGCCAGGGAGCTGCTGCAGGAGTGAAGATGGGGGGAAGGGGGTGAAAAGTTTGCGAGAGAGAGAGATGCATGTACGGAAGCCCTGGGCACGAGACTTATATACTGTACATAGGCGAGAGCAAGTGTGGCAGATTAGGATCTACCCTTCCCCCTGAACTCCTGCTGTGCAAAGCTCCGTTCATTTTGTGCTGTCATAAGAAATTCCTTTATGGTCATCTACACATCTTTAACATTAGTGTTAGGACTGAAGAGGTTAGGGTGTTTTGTTTAAGCGATTGTAAACTCTAGCTGAAAATTAAGTGATGGGACTCCAGTCCCAGCTGGCAGCATTTCCTAATTTGAGGAATATTGTTTCTCTGTTTTTTTTACAGCTTAACGGATCGATTGTGTCAGATTCAAATGCTGTAACTTGCCGCACGTCTGCTGTAGACTTTAATGAATGACTAACTGCAGATTGCATCCTGAACCTGCAAGGATTTGGGCTTGAGAAGTTACTTTTGTGCCCTGTTGTCCCAACTTGCCTTTGTGTTTTCAACACGAAACTGCGTGAAGGCAGAGCACTGTTCCACTGGTAATTCTTGAGAATTATGTTTTTTCCCTGTCTCGTTGTCTTCAAAGGACTCAATTGGAGGTTTTGATGGCTGGAGTCGCAGCCAGATTGGAAAGGCCAAAGCTGACCTTGAGGAGACAGAAAGCACTCTGAAGAAAGGCCTACAGGGTCAGTGGAAAAAAAAACTGGCAATATCTGCTTCCTTCTGCTTGCATCACACAAAGAAACACTTTCCCTGCTTTCTTGGGCTACGATATTGCCATCAAGTTTAAAGAAAACCTGTGTTTTTACACTGTGGCCCAAATCCAATTGTATCTTCATGCGTAGTTCATAATGTCAGCTTTCTCTTAAGACTTACCTTTCTTGTGTCTGGCTCTCGGAACTTCACCATCAAGTACTTGATTTGTGATTTTATTAAACACAGTTGTTTGAAGTTTTGTCTTCAATCTGCGACTGACCGCAAGGTACCTTCCATTTCTTTCTTTGAGTCATTATTACACACAGGTCATTGCACTGCTCTTTTAAGGATTTAGGCAGGCTTGGTGATGAATTGTGCAGCAGGCATAACGTAGTAGAGAAAAAGCTTAATGCACACTGCGTTTGTGGGCCTCTCGTAGGGCTGGAAGAACAGCTAAATAAGCTGAAGACAGAGGTTTGTGAAGCCCAAACAGAGCTCCACACGCTGAAGACATACAAAGACAAGCAGTACCCTGTGAAAGCTCTGAGGATCGCAGAGATGCAGAGAGAGATCGTAAAACTGCAGGAGACGCATCAGGTAGCCAATCATACTGGCCAGGCTCACCTGAACCCATGTTCCACACTCGCAAGATAAGCTGTCGGTGCACATAGACATGGACAGAGCAGACCACTGAGCAGACAAACATCCCCTCTTGAAAACAGGAGATGTTTACCAAGATAATTAAGACTTAGCTGCTTAAATTTCCTTTAGAGAAATGGTCTTAACCTGGAAGTGCGAAATTTGCCTGATTTGTTTAGAAGGTAAATCATGAAAAAAAAAACATAAATTAACCACATGCACATAATTGACAATTACTTTGATTCTTCAGATCACGATGTGTGTAATTTTTCATGTATTCTTTAATTTTACTACTAAAGTAAAATACAATAAATATATAATTCTCTTTCATTCCATAGTTAGATAGGTCTTAGATATTGGCCTGCTTCAGTGTTTTTGATCGGGGGATGTGAGAACATATTTTGAGCACCACAGAGGCCCAGGCTACAGCAAAAGCATGCAGCCAAGCGCAATTCTCGTAAACCTTTTTCATAGACAGCAGCTTTGTCTATAACAGCATCTATGAACATCCCTCCACAGGCCGGTCTAAAACCCAGCCAGCTTATCTCGAGAGAGTGGGAAATGCTGTTAAAAACTGCAGTGCATAGCTATAAAGCAGAGCTGAGCTTTTTTTTTTCCAAGATGGCTCGCGTTTTGTTTCGGCCAGGATGAGCGAGAGGATATCCAGCTGCTTGCCCAGTCCGAGATGGGGAAGCTGGAGAAGTCCTTCAGGAGGACGGAGGATGAGATGCTGTCCGCAGTCGCTGAGGTAATGAAGACCTGCTCGTGTCCTGCACAGCTCAAGCCAGCCTAGTGACATCACTTCCTGCCAAGAGGCTGGGATGAGCTCCCATATAGCCCATTTGTCCAGTTAAGAAGTAACTGTTGACACTCTCTCATAGTTCCTGACTGCTTCATAAGCCATGATTAGCTAACTGTCTTAGCGAATCGATTAGAACAAAAAAAAATCCTTATTTCCTTTTGTTTGTAACCTACAGTATGCTGTTATTTTGCTTATTTGGTTTCTAGCAGCTTATTGATCGAATGATCTAATCCAGCCATTTCATGAAAGATTCCAGGGAATTAACAGCATGACTGGGCAGATCACAACCCTTAATTTATGGGAGCGATTTCTGATTTCAATACTAAGCACACGTCTTCATTTCCACTCGGGTCCTGAGGTTGCACTGTTGAGCAATGATGTCAAGAACGAACTATGGACTAACCAATGTATTAAGGAAAGAGTAAAATAAATTAGACCTTACCAATGCCATTCCATTGACCCAGATTCTTCACTTTTCACACTTTATCCTAATATTTGGCCTTTACATAGCTTCACCACATGTTCTGCTTGGACACAGAGTCCACGTACACACACAGGCCCTGTTTGGAGAGCCCCTTCTTCAAGCTCAGTTTCGCCCATCTTGAATGTACAGTGTTGATCATTACTATGTATGTGTACCGGGTCGTTGACATGTCAGGGGCGTTTTCTCCCTCCTCGAGGGAGGGAGTTCTGGAAACCACAGCCCAGGAGGACCATACTTGCTCTGTAGTCTTTTTCGGGGCAGTAAATGAGAACCCCCAAGGTCAACTGGACAAACAGAAATTGGAAATTGAGAGCTGTCCCCTTCCTGTCAATGTAAAAAAAAAAAAAAAAAAAAAACAGATTCCATATTTCCTTTCTTGACAGCCAGGGACTCATGACTCCTGTCATTTTCCACTGACTGTCCTTTCCCCTGGTGGTCCCCAGTCCTGGTCCTGCTGGTTTGTGTTCCAGCCGGGCCCTCAATTACACAGTCAAACCCTTCATTGACTTAATAATAAGACTGACCTGACCTGTGTGTTCCCAGCTCTTACACATTTTGGGGCTTTAACCATCATATATATTGTAAGTGAAATAAAATCCCAGACGTGTGACAAGAAACAAAATGCAAATATTCAGTTGAAGCCAAGTCTTCGATTGAGTTAGGCCTTCGTTCTGTCATGAAGGTGGGCTGGATTGAAAACCAGCAGCTGTGTGGGTTTCACCAGGACCAGGACAGAAACCACTGGCCTAGAAGATGTCATTATTGCGAGTGGGAGATCGTGACACCAACTCCACTCTTTCCTCATCGTAGAGTATCCGTAGACTCCAAACCTGCCTCTGGTCCGTGTCTCCAGGTTCCAGGTTGTACGATGTAAAAAAATAATAATTCTGGTGTTTATTTAAACTGTCTAGGAAAAGATGACCTATATTCCTCCTGGAGTGGAGCACATGCTGTTCCATAATTCAGTAATGAAGAAGGAAATTGAACTTCACCAAAAAGTGAGTTGAAAACCTTAACTGTATTCAGGTTTGTAAATAAACAATGAGACTTCTAACACCGTGAAAGGAAACTGACTAAAATTTCCGGTATCAGAAGCCTGGATTGTCCGTTTCTTCTTAAATGTCATTACGTGTCTTCTTCAGTTTCTTTTCCATTTCTCCCTGCAGATGATCAGCGAGCTCGAGGAGAAGACCCAGGCGTTGGAGAAAACCGTCCAACAGCTCCAGCAATCTAGAGCGGACATCAGGAAAGAGATATTCTGCGATGTTTTCCCCAGAAGAGATAAGTATGTTTATCTGGTTATAGAGTAATGTGCTGTGTAATCATCACTGACTTGCACCACAAGATATCTCGTGTTCACCAATGAGACCAACTGATCACTACACATAATTCACACGATTAAAAACACAGCTCAGAGCTGATAAGAATCACTATACGTGTATGTGCCTGAACTGAAACCCCCCTACTGGTTTCTCTCTGAGCAAGATTTCCGTCTTCAGGCTTGCAGTTTTTCAACATTAAAAAAAATTGTGTATTCTAAAGAACTGCTGAATAGCACCTTGGCCAAGTTTGCCTTTTGCTCTTTTGTTTTGTCAAGCAGCGGAGTGTGTCGGCAGTGTTGCGTTTGTTTGTTTTTTCCGCACCTCGAAAAAGAACCTGCTGTCGTGTCAAAGCACAGGCATTAATTGGCCTGGCATGCTTTTCTCATGCTTGCATAGCAGATGAATCGTAGTATAACTTCTGGTTTTTCAGTGCTTCTTCTGAGTCTTTAGTTTCTTGTAGTTCTGTGCACCTGTAGATACTAATTTGTCGGGGATGCTCATCAGGTCCTGATCATGGCAGCCACGTCTCCTGTAACTTTTGTTCCATGCCTCTCATGTAACCTGCTCAGACTGAACCGCTTGTCCCTGGCCCTCTGCCCATATGAGACAGGAAACCGTGCCAGGGCAAAACACTGCCTGTGTGTGTGTGACGGGGCTCTCTGACCTGAACCAGCAGCATCCTCTGTGTTTAGCTGAAGGCTACCCAAACAACTGCATGTTACTAACATGAGGGAAATCGGAGCTCCGGTCACTAAAAAAAACACCAAATAAAAGACATCTGTTTCAGCACTGATACACAGGCTTCTCCACTCCCCTTCTGTTGTTTACTAAAATCGTAAAAAAGCACTTAATTAGATTCTGACGACAATAAAGAATAAGGTTACTAAAGAGGATGAATAACATAATGGAAAAATATATGAGTAAATAATGCCTTTTTCTATATGTAATTGTTGTAAGAGGTTTGCTTTCCATACTGTTTACCATATAGGGTTTCCCATGATAGTTAATCGTTTTCTTCTGAGCTTCTTGTGACTTGAAGCTCTCCAATGCTAAACCACAGGCACACACAATATGGGCAGAACAGCTGGCTGAAGGGAAGAGCACTGCACTGTACCTCTCAACATAACAGTACAGAGTTTTAGAAAATCTCTCCGAGACATCTTAAAGATACACGAAGAGTCACAGCAAGCTTTGAAATCGCAGAGTCCAAATCTGTCATTAAAAGTTCATAAGGGACTCAAATTTCCGGCAAGTTGTTCCAAACCAAGAAACAAATGTAGATTTGGTTTTGAAATACGATCCTTTTCTTATTTATTTTACATCTTCTTTTATTACAACTAAGTACCAAAGTGCAGTTATTTAATATGTTATTTCAATGGAAGAACAAAGGATGTTTCCGTTGAAATAAGTCCATGGGAACAGAGATCTCTGCCAGCGGAGATAAGATTGATTTCAGTGTGCGCAATGTTTCACCCAATGAAGAAGATCTTTTTCCTGAATGACAAGTGTGAAGCTGCTCTGAGGATAACAGTAGTTTCCCCCATTAACAGGGGTTCAGTCATACATAAGGTGAAGCACTCTTATTTCTGTGGAATAGAAATAAATGATTTACATTATGTCCTTTCTCAGAGTGTCATCAATGTGCTGCCTTTAATAAATGTTTAGTCAGAAGATTTTAGTTGGCACCATCGGATTCTGTGCCCTATTTTACAAGAAAAAATATCCAAATAAATAAATGGCATGAACTTTCTCAGAAACAGGCCCGTGCTCAGTTGCCAGCCCACGTGCTGTTGAAATTTAGCATTAAATATGACACAAAACAAAGTTAAACAGCTCATTTCAGGGACCTGTCTTCCAACATTTTGCATTGGACCCATGATTCAATTCATTTCTGATTTAACAGCCTCGCAAAGTTAAAATATTTATTTCTCATTGAATCGAAATATGTTTTTTACATTAACGGTGAAGAATACACCTCGGGACATCCAGTGCCAAGTCAACATTTTGCTAAATCATGTAAAATCCCAGAGCACACAAGGGAAGGCCTACAGGTCATTTTCACAGTGCGAAGTTGTATTCTCTCAGGCTCAGTAATGATTTAAGTACAGCTTGAGTATATTATAATCCAAGCAGTAAGACTAATTTGTTTATTGTCTGTGTTTCAGATGTGCTCCGGATATGGACGTGACATTAAACATTCCCAGAGAGGAGTGGCTCCCTATTTAGCTACACTGATCATGGCAGGAGGGACTTATACGAAAAACGCTCTATATCTGCGCTCATGCGTTTGAATTGATTTAATCCAGATCAGAAAATGTATATACAGTGTTTGTAACATTATGTTTAATTGCTAGGTTGTTCAGATTCAACAGCCAGTTACTGTACATCGAGAGCAGGCTGTATTTGTACCACTCTTACAGATAAAGATTACTCTTCTAAGTTGCAACAGGCTGGAACTTGTGGAACTCATTTTACTCTTTAGATGCAGCTCTGAAAGCAAATCATTTCAGTGTCTCTCACAGGAGATTTGGCTTATACCCTGTTGCAGTCATAGGCCTTAGAGTTGTTACTGTTGGATTTTGTGGGCAAACAAGGAACAGAATGTTTTTAATGCAAATATTTTTTAACCTAACTTTGTCTGTTGAGTTACTATGTGAAACCAAAATGAAGCACTTTGTGCACTTGTGTTCTTCTTTTATATCCTTTGAGACTTAAAAGCGAGTTATATTTTCATTCAGAACCTCCTTTCTCATGGTGGTGATTGTGCACAGATTTCCAGGACAGAAAGTGTTCCGTTTTTGTTCTGGGAGTTATAACTGGCATGGTTTAAATTCAGTAGTCAGCAGAGAAATCTATATCTAGTCCCTGTGTGTATCCGCTGGAGGCGTGTTAGGAAATATAGTTTGAAAGAAGACTCCACAATGTGCCGAAGTGTGGGAAAGCAGTTGCGTTTATAAAGTGGTAGGCTCTTCGGCACACCGTCCCATGGATAACAGATTGAATGTGTGTGCAGTTGGAAAAGATTCAGCCAAGTCAGAAAAATCTGATTTCTTGCAGAAAAGTCTGCGCTTTTTGCTCAGTCCTGGGATACAAATGTTATGGCTTGGTATGGGACTCCAGAAGGCCTTTTATTACAGAACAATAATTGTTCTGCTTCTTTTAATTGAAGTGAAATGCGTATTTTTTTTACATAACACCAGGGAGAGCCTTCAATAAACCTGCTGTGCATTGCTCAGTGACAAGAGGTTTTCACTTTCCTTACGCCTAGGTACATGACTTTTCTTCTGTTTCACTGATTCACCATTGTGAAACAAACGCACAGACATACCGATTCGATCTATTGCAGGAATTGCGATGTCACCATTCCAGTTAGAAATGTTCCTCTCCGGTTAAGGTTTGTATTTGGGGTCGGCACCTTTAGAATTAAGACCTCAGCAGTGACTGAGAGCCTCAGGTTTAGAGGAATTTGTCATTTATTTCCGGGTGCTGGATTAATGCTTTTCATTTACTGCACTGCAGACTTTTTTGTAGTACTTCAATTTACTACAATTTCAAAAGAGAATCAGGTCTGGGGTCTTTTGCTTTCATTTTTAACTCAGTGTTAAGCACTTGTCCTCTTACAATAAAAACTATTTTTCTCCAAATACATGAGCTCATTAAATTATGGCACTATGATTCCCTTATATATATGTCACATTTTTGGTGACAAAAGAGTGTGTGTATATATATATAAAAAACAGACCCACGGTACAAGTAAAACCACCCCAAAGTGCAGCCAGGCCACCACTCCGTACTTTCCCTATAACCTCCAAAACTTTTCCCTACACGAACAGCTCGGCCCTTTCCAAAAGGAAATGACTTGCGCCCTTACGTCAGGGGCCGGACTGGTTGTGTGTGTGTAAAAAAAAAAAGATGAAGTTGCCTTGCCGGAGCCAGAGCCAGAGCCAGCCCGGAGCGCGGAGCGAGAGGATGAGGGATCGGAGAGGCGGAGCGCGCACACGGAGACCCGCAGCTCAGCACGGCCAAGGGCTGGGGGACGCGCACAGCGGCTAGCTCGCCGGCTCCGGTAGGTGTCACCTGCGAAACTACTGCGCCGATTTCGGCTTTTTCAAGAGCAGGGTTCGAATACTGTCTGCGGGCCGAAACGGAGTTTTTTTTTTGTTTTCTAACTGATTGCGGAGCCGTTCTGCGGCGCATCCACAAGTAACCCTAGAGCTTCCCCGAAAGGAAAAAAAACAACAACGCGTAGATGTGGTGAAGTGAACTTCAATAATAAAAAAAAGCTCAGTTTTCATTTTTAAAGAGAGAGAGAGAGCGCGGTTTCGAAGAAGCGTAATATGGTTTGTCTTCGGAAAACGACGTTGCACGCCTGGACAACAATGCGAACGAATTTACGACAAGAATGTACTTTTCTCCCGCATTTCATAGTTACAGTTACCATCGCGTAATTCCGTTGAGCGGTCTGTCGCTGAAAACCCTGCAGATAGAACCAGCGGTCTGGAGGGTTTCGCAGTCGTGTGTGTCTGCGCTGCCGCATCTAATGTCTATCAAAGAGGAAGAAGGAAAAAAAAAACAGAGCCGTTGTGTTGTGCGGTATAGTGTGTGGGAGAGCCTAATGGCACTGTCCTGGATTAAGCTTTTAAATTTTTAACAAGGTCGTGGAATGCAGAGCGCTGTTGCCGTGGCTCCGAGAGGGTATCGTTTCAGAGATCCCACGGCAATTCTATACAACAGCAACAAAAGCAAATTCAAACACCCAATACCTTTTTTTTGTGTGTGTGTGTGCAACAAATATGATGGGATAGAGAGTGTGGCACATTAGCTCACGGCTGACCGACGCACTTGAACCGTCCTCTGCGGGCAGCCGCTCCTCCAGTCGCTCCGGTTCGGAGACACACGGGGCAGCTGCGCGCACAGCGAACCCCTCTCCCTCTCTCTCAGTCCGCGGAGAAGTATCTTCATCTGAGGTACGGTTCTCTAAACAAAACTTGTAACGATGCTTCTGTTTTCTTTTTTCTTCCTAAAACAAAGTTCACCTTTCCCACCGCCGCCCCAGGGGAATGACTGTGTCCCAAGACTGAGAAGCAGACCAAACCGCGCGCTTATGGTTCGCCTTTTTTGTTTTAGTTTTTTTTTTTGTTGTTGTTGTTGTTGTTGTTTTTAAATCTCATGTGGGCTAAGCTGTGAGATATTTAAGACGGCAGAACTTTTCTTTCAGGGCGCGTTCGTCGCTGACCCGAGAGGATGACGCTGAACACGCAGAGAGACAGCAAGGAGACCCTGAGGCGGAGGGCGAGCACGCCGATCCCGTCCGCGCACCAGTCGGGTGCAAAAGACGGGGAGCCCGCGGCGGACCCCCACCATCCCGCCCTCGGCCACTCTGCCTCCTACCACCCCGGGGACAAGACCCTCCACTCCCGGGCCAGCTGGTCCACCGACTCGGAGGACTCCGACAGCTCCGGGGCAGAGTGCCTGTACCGCGTCGTGCTGCTCGGGGACCACGGGGTGGGCAAGTCGAGCCTGGCCACCATCTTCGCGGGGATCCAGGAGAAAGATCTGAGCGACCAGGAGAAAGGAGGTGCGACAGCTCGGGAGTGTCGGTTTTCACACTCGCTTCGTCTTCATTAAGCCTTGAATTCAAATAAGCACGAGCTGTTCTTCCTTGGCTGTGCGCGGTTCACGGTTGAGAAGGCAACATTATTATTTATTTTATTTTATTTTTTGCTTCTTTCGTATCAATCCTCTGCCTTAAATAATGCGCCCGATTTCAAAGTTGGATTTGGTCAAAGTTTGTTGTGGCGCTGTACTGTAGGCCGGTACCGCCGTGATGTGGACTGTTGGTAGCTGCCCGAACTGGTCCTGGATCAAGAAGTTTTCGCTTGTGTAAAAGCTTTTGCTTGATAGAAGAACATTTTTTTTCTTCCTTTGCCTTAGCTGGTGAAATCAGAATGAGAGTGGACGAGGAGTTAAGTCACTGAGGGGATGTCACGGTTATTTCAGACTGGCTCGGCGGTATGGGGTTTTTAAACGCCTAGTCGTGCAATCCAGTTGCGATTGAAGTTTTTCGTTTTGTTTTCAGCTAGGTACCATAGGAGGCTCGCCGGTTATTCTGTTGGATCGATGCCCCTTTATAATCGCCGAAGAGTTCGTGTTCAAGACTTTAAGCAAGTTTTGCCCACAGTTTTATCCAGTGATTCAGTTCTACCCTCTCACTGAATCATTGAATTTCCCCGCAGTAATTCGGGGGGCAGATACCGCTGGGCTGTACTGCCTCTCTGTCGATGCCCCTGGTATTGGGGCACCCCGGCTGCGTCACTCAGGGTGCGCAGCCGTCACGTGCCCGTGTGGCGCCGCTTCGGGCAGCAGAGGCGCCGTCACGTGGCGCTATCGGCCGTCAGACCCCCGATCGATTGTCAGGCGCTATTGATGACCGCGTTGACGCGCGGCTCCGGGGCTAGAGCCATCCGTTTAGTGTTCGCGTTTGTTTGGAGGCGGTTATCTGCCAGAAAAACACTGTACACACTGTCGGGAGGTGCTATTTTTCCTTTTTTTTTTACGCGCCTTAAGTTGAAATAAGTCGGAATGTGACGCTCGTTTCTCTCCCTGTTCTGACCCATGAGTCGGGCTGGGCTGGGCTGGGCTGAGCGCGGGGGCAGCGCTGGACTCTGTAGTTAAGCGGGATGTGTGGGTTTCTGGAGAGAAAGAGAGGGCGAAAGAGAAACCCTGGGTTTTCAAAGCCATGCCAGCTCACCTGTCAGTTGTTTGCAGATGAGGCCCCCCAGCGCCAGGGGCCCCACAAGGACGTCTGTTTTTGGCACTGAGAAGGCGTGGGGACTGGGGTGCTGACACCTCAGCATTCTCAGATAGGCTGTTGCAATATTGACCAGGCGTGAGCACCCAGTTTAGCCCGCGCATGATCTATTGTACGTGCATGCTCTGCGCCTAGGCACGCTCACGCACGTACTGGGCACTCTGGGTGCAACACCCCAGTGTCCCCGGGCACTGTGAGAGCAGCTCACACCAAGAAGTGGAACTCTGAATAATCAGGGACCGATTCTCCTGTAGCGAGGAGCCGCTGGCCAGAATGCTCTGACGGAGCTGTGAGCTGTGTGTGTCTGGGGCTTGGGAAGTATTGACAGACAGCCTGTTCATTCACCCGGGAGCTCTCTGGCCCAGACAGCAGGCCCTCCACATTGCTGTGCGCGGGGCTGACTGGCAGCTCAGCGAGGCAGCCCTTCCTGCGGGGCAGAGGCTCGAACCCAAGCACAGCTGACTCCGCACTGAGGGAGGGAAGCAGCCATCATCTGCGAGGCCAGCAGGTGTCCACAGGCTCTGGACTGGTGCAGAATGAATCGGCCTAAGCGGGCATTTACACATTTGACTGCAGTGCAGTGACATGGTTTAAAAAAAGACCAGATGTTTGGACAATGACTGACACTTAAAGAGAAGTGTTGGTGACCTGTTTCGCCTTTCTGCTTTTATATCAAACCTCATGGCTTTGCCTGACATGTCAAGGCCATGAGGCCTCGCCCCTCCCCGACCTTCCCCAGTGTCCCAGAGGCTCACAGCCTCCTGTACAGCAGTGAGTGCTGGCAAGATTGACACGTTGGACTGGTTTGTCTTCAGACTCGGTGTCCAGCTGGGCTGCTGTCTCTTGAAATGCTTTAGGCTTAGCAAACACGCATGCGGGGAGAGATCTGCTACTGGACACTTTGTGCTTTTCGGAGACAGCTTCACCCAAAGCTTATAGCTGGGTCCGAACATCCAGTCAAGTAGCTGCTACCTCCCAGGTTATGTTAGAAGGGCAAAGCAGCCTGGCCACCTCTGACCTGTGACCTTGGTTATGCTCTTTGCTAGAACAGAGGTACTGGTTCTGTAATGACGTAACAATGTTTTAAAGCAATATTTGCACACAGTAGCATCATCGGGGAAGTGTAAAACTTTAACCTTTATCTACAGCACAAGACCTATTCAGAACACCTATTCAGTAGGTACGGCTGCAGAGCTGCAGTTTCCACAAGACCACAGCAATGGCCGTGGAAGACTTGCATAGAAATTCAGTTAGTAGTTCAGGTGGGGAGCTGCGTCAGCATGCGTAGGCTGCAAAGGAACAAGTAATAGGTTTATTCCATGGTGAAAAAAAGAAGAAAGAGAACACAACGTTTCGGCCGTGGAGCCTTCTTCAGGTGTGAGAGAGACAGGGCAGTCGCTTTCTTCTTTTTTTTAGGATGGAATAAACCTATTACTTGTTCCTTTGAAATTCAGTTGGTTTTAGTCGGTTGTTTGTGTCTTGCTAAAGCTGGATTTATCTCTGAAAAAGTGAACAGCGTCCTGGCAGTGGGACAGCGGTCCGGGAGACAGAGCACAGGTCGGTGTCACACCTCCCTCAGGCTCCTGGGACATCGTCACGGGCTCTGTGTGGGAAAGAGAGACCCGGGGCTCCCGTTCACAGACGCGTCCTGTGGGCAGCGGTCACTCTCCGGCCCTGACCTCCGGCGCCTCAGGGAGACACGGCGGAGGACCGGGTGGGTGGGGGAGAGATTTAAGGGGAACACGGTGACGCAGCTCTTTCGAGATGAGAGCCTGGAAGATGTGTGGCCCTTAGAGATTCACGCGAGACGGATTTTCCAGTGGTTTAGTGACTTGTTTAATTCAGTTGGGATTATATCTCTCACACCACCTATGAAGTTGTGGACGTGAAGTGTGCAAGCAATCACATTTCTGTTTCAGTGAAATTGTTTTTTCACTTGTGTTTTCACGCGCTGCAGGGAGTGCGGTCTTTCTTGGGGTTCGTGACCACAAAAGACCACAGCACCTCCCTCGAACGTGATCAGAGAAAGGGGTGAGCGAAGGCACAGCTTTCCTTTGGCACTGAAGCAAAACACAGCTGATTGCAAAAGGGCAAATAATTATATGTAATAAGGTTTTGCAGAAATAAAAAGGTTCTAAAAAAGAAACTCACTGAAATCTCTTTGCTTCCCTTTGCACCACCCTGCATTGTGTCAGAAGATGGAAAACAAAATAAGATATATTGTCTGGGCTGATTGGTATTTGTTCCATCGAGGCTGTGTTTCAACTCCTGGATGTTTTCAGAAGAAGATCTTCTGCGTGTATTTTTTAGCTCAAACTCTAGCTCTTTGTAGACTGGAAGGAAAAATATCGATAAAAGGGCTGCGAACGCAGAGGCCTGAGGCTCCCGTTGGCGTGATGAGAGGTGCACTATGGGAAAGTGGTCCACGAGTGAGTTGTCTGTTTGAGGAGGCTGAGTCACACACTAGATGTTTCCATGGCAAATTAACAACAGCTTCTGGGCTGAGTGGAGGAAATTAGATTAATGACAGCCTTACAAACGCATCAGTCTGGCTCGTCTGTAGGAAGGCCTGAAATGGACACATTGTGCCATTTAAAAACCCCTGTGTGTTTCCTTCACAGGCCACAAGGTCTCCTCTTGTCACTGTGACCTGTCTTCCCTCCATCTGACGGTGTTACTTCCAGGCAGGAGACGAGGAGAATGGAAACGAGAACGTTGGGCCGTTTTTCTTTTGTGATGGAGTGTTTTGGGATCTCTGTAGTCTTGGCTGTCCTTTCCCATGAGTACAAGGCACAGACCAAAGCCCATAATCCTGACAAAGGCCCACAAGGCCTGGAGTTTCCTTGAGGAGCGTGACGTCTAGGACCGCCAGGAATGGAAGGAGCTTGACTTCTTCTTTCTCCAGGGTCAGGCACCCAGTTATGGCCGCAGTGCTACTACTGTGTAACTGGTCTTGTCAGACCTCGGGTGCACGGGCCCTGGTCAATACTTGCACAGGAGGCCTGCGGAGCCATTTCCGGCAGGACTGAGTACCAGAGACGTTCCTAAACAGCCATCAGTGATTTTGAACGCTCCCTCCCCGCAAATCAGGATTGGCCTCTCTCGAGCAGCTTGGCGCCACCAGCGGAGAGACAGGGACACACCTGTGCACGTGTCCCTGGTGCACTCCCGAATAGCTTAGACCTCTTTCCCGCGTTGCAACAGTGCAGCACATGTGACGTGCCACACAACAAGTGCCACACAACGTGGGGGAGTTAGTATGAAACTGTAGCAGTGTCCAGAGCTAGACTGCGGACACACAACAGCAGCAGGGTTGACCTGAGCTGCGGTGCGGCGCCATTCCTCTGTCTGGGAAAACTCCCACTTCCCCCAGTGTATTTTTCCCGGGAAGGGGAGGGATGCGAGCAGCAAGGCCCTCAGCTGGGATCTCTGTCTCCAGGCTGGCGCCGCTGTTTCTGGGCACAGAAGCCGGTCTCGATTCCCGCCCGCGAGGCCTCCCCTGAAACGCGGCGGCACGGCGAGTCGCCGAGAGACGTCGCGGTTCGTGTGCGCGAGGTTTCGGCCAGCCGCCTCGCCGGGGCTCTTCCGTTTCGGCCCCCCAGCCCCTCCCGTTCCTCTGCCGGAACGAGACGCGTCCGGGTTACGGCCGAGAAGACCGTTTCGGGAGAAGGAGGAGACGCCCAGCCCGCCGAGTCTGGGTCGTGACCGTTCATGACAACACCCGACCCTCGGGAGGCGATAGAGAGCGTGGTGAGCACCCCGTGCTGTGCCCTTGATCCTAGCTGGCTTTGCCCTGTCTTTCAGAGGACACCTACGAGCGGACCCTGACTGTCGACGGGGAGGAGACCACTCTGATCGTGATGGACACGTGGGAGGCCGAGAAGCAGGTACGTCCCCGCCCAGCAGGGGGCGCATGTCTTCCCACTCCCTTCCTTCTGTTTCTGCAGGCTTCCCCCTCCCCCCCCGTGCCTGAGGGACAGCAGTGTTGTTGTTCCCGAACGCTGCAGGCGTCCTATTCCCAGGCTAGTGGCATCACTTCCGGTGAGGAATGTGGGTTTGGAATGCGCACTATCGGGGGAAAGAATTATTCTAATTATTCAAACTCACTGCAACATTTGTTTGAGTTTGGCGTTCTGGTAAACAGGTCCTCATGAGCAGTTAACCTGCTAAACTTGGCACAGTCCTCCACCTATTATTAGAATCTGGTTTCTCCTCATGGAAATATTTGTCCTGAATATATATATAAAAAAAACAACAACTTGTGGAAACTTGCTTTGGCATGGATCTGTTGTTTGCGAAGGTGGTAGAGGGCCCTGTGCAGTTTATGACCAGGTGCGCGGGAAATCTTTTCCTCCTCTCCAGCGCTTTACCGCCGCGCTCCTCAGCGGCTGGTAAAACAGCGAGCGAGGAGCGCTGCTGCCAAAGCCTCCTCCCGCTGCAGCTGGAAATTAAACCAGATGTGCAGCGGAGCGCAGGAAAACAGAAAACAGAAACGGCCTTGGGGAAAAACAAAAGGTCTGGCAGCTGACCCCACACCCCTTCTTTGACCGCGCTGTGGAAAAAATGTCCACAGCCTCCAGCAATAATCCATAGAGCCGGAATCGGAGCACGGACGCTCTGACAGGGCTGCTCAGATCCGCGATACCGATGGCTGTGGGGGCTAATTCCACTGGTATGGATCAGCACTGGGAAGGCCAGTAGGGTGCCAGCCCTGCTCAATTAGCTTGTGATTTTTCATTGGTTTGTTCCCGTTCTCCCACACTGCTCTTGCCAGGGCATTTGTTGTTGCTGCTTGTGATTGTATTTGCGATATAAGGCCAGGATGGGACAAGTGGGCCAATCAGCAGGCTAATGCGTACCTAGTAATTAAGAGGACTGGGACTTGGGGTGGGGGTGGGAAGGGTTCAAAAGCTTTTTGCTCCAGTGCAAGAATGTGTTCCGTTTTCTGCTGTGCCATACAGCAGCAGCAGCACTACCTTCGGCTTCTAACTTGTCAGACCTCAGAGGTTCAGAGAGGCTGGGCCCGCTGGGCAGTGGGGTGGGAGACCTGTCAGGAAAAAGAGGCTTTTGCTGTGTGTGGCACAGGTCGACCAGTAGGTGGCACTCCCCCCTCTGCACCAGAATTTCCACACGGTTCGCCTAGTAAGGTGATCAGGGTCCCATCCCTGCAATGAGATATGAAACTGAAGTCTTGGCCGCATGGTCATTGATGATTGCAAAACGCTGTTCATCAGGGCAGGAGTGTTAAATTCCACTCTGGGCTTGCGCACTTAAATTCCCCCTTAATTCACCCGGTGAAGCACTTTCTCAGTCATTGGCCTCACCTGCTGTGTCGAGGGGCTGCTGGGGCAGAAAGGCTGCTGGGTGTCTCCCAGGTGGGGGCTGCTGGGGCAGAAAGGCTGCTGGGTGTCTCCCAGGTGGGGGCTGC